CAGCTCCTGGAAGTAGCCTCCCTGGAATCTGTAAGCCAAAGATCCCCAGGCTTTCCCACATTCTTTCCACCCTTCACTCCCATTACCAAATAGTCCCTTCTCTCTCTTTTCCCTATCCTACTCTCAGATAAGCAGTGTCATTGTGCTGCCTCCCTGCCCCTGCCCAGTTTTCTAGGGCACTCCAGTTATTAAGAAAAAGGAAGATCCTATATTTATACTTAGAAGGAACTTTACTTATTTTTGGTTGGGCAATGGGGTTAAGTGACTTGCCCAGGGTCACACAGCTAGTATCAAGTGTCTGAGGCCAGATTTGAACTCAGGTCCTCCTGAGCCAGGGCCAGTACTCTACCCACTTTGCCACCTAGGAGTTTATCTCTTTAGAGATAAACTTGTTCAGCCCCTTAATTTAATAGGTGAGGAAACTGGGCCCCAGAAAGGTTAAATTATTAGCCCAAAGTCACAAGGGTAGTAAGTGGCAGAACTGATATTTGAACCCAGATCCTCCATCTCCCAATACAGAACTCTGTACCATGCTACCTGCCTCACCTTCCCCCAAATTCATATCACTACATAATATAGTGGGGAACATTCTCTTTGCATTTAGAGTCAGCACCCCCAGTCAGTCAAACTCTGGCCAGCTCTGATGACTCTAATTTGTACCAGTTTTGGCAGGTCCCTTCCCTTTTTTAAGGTCTTCATTGCTTTATTGCAAAGTGTTGATAATGAGGCCATTGCCTATAGTTTACTCCAAGAATCAAGTGAGGTAATTAATATGCAGAAAAGGGCCTACACAAACATGAGCTAATGCCATTGTATTCCATTATGCAGGCAGCTGGTAGTGCAATGGAGACAGCACTGGGCCTGGAATCAGGAGGACCTGAGTTCAAATCCAGCCTCAAACACTAGCTGGGTGACCCTGGGCAAATCACTTAACTATCATTTCTCTCAGCTTCCTCAAGTATAGTACGAGGGTAATCACGGCACTTTTTTCCCAGGATTGTCGCAAGGATCGAATGAAATAGCATTTATATAAGCACTTAGTACAGTACCCGGCACATTGTAGGTGCTGCATAATGCTTATTCCCTTTCTCCTCTCTTGTACAATGTAGGGGCAGGGAAGAGAAGGGAACTGGAGAGTTAGGAGAAAGATCAGGAGGAAGTTGGAGCCAGGGAAAGGGCAGAAGAACAAAGGTGCCTGTCATAGGATGCCTACGAGGAGTTCCAGGGGTGTTCTGTTCTCTCAGGCTCCCCTGTGGTGTGAAAGTAGTTGGATGACACACTCAGCAGATGACACCATCTGGTGTTTATCTGAGAAACTCCAGAGTAGATGGAGTGGAAAGAATTTTAGAGTAGGGGTCAGAAGGCTGGGAATCGTGTCTTAGACTCAGCAGCATTTAGTCTTAAGAAAACTGCGTTCATCTGGAGACTTCTAGCAAGATGGTAGGGGTAAAAAGGTCAGGATAAGCCTATCTCTTATCCCCTCTAGCTTCAAAACAGATAAGTGCACCTAATGGAGGTAAAGAGCAAAGAGAAAGAAGGGCGGGGGGGGGGGGGGGGGGGGGGGGGAGAGCTTTCTCTCTGAGACAGAGACAGAGAGAGATTTCAGAGAGGTAATCCTCACAGAAAGTTTTAACAAATAAAAATATAAACCACAAAATCTGTAATATCACCTCATTTCTGCACCCATCTTGCCCGCTACAATACCTTTAAGACACAGGAAGACTTGTATGAATTGATGCAGAGAGAAAAAAGGAAAACAATATATATAATGACTGGAATAATAAAAACAGTGCCAAGAAAGCTGAATTCAGAGATTCTCCAATGGCTGGAGGCTAGCGTCGTCCCTGGGGCGTGTCATCCATCCACTCTACTGGAATGGCTTTGTCATACTGAAGCTGTGGGATATCCTTTAATTCTGCAGCTGTGTATGGAATGACTCCTGAGGATGAGGGAGCCCTGCTGATGGAGAGTTGACCAAGGCTAAGATAAGTTTTCTTGTTTCTCTATAACCAATTCTAGGCTCTCAGGCACATCCGCACCACTGTAACTATTGTATGGCATTGAGACTCTCCTAAAAAATGGTCTGAAGAATGAATATTAGTAAAATACAATGATGCAAAGGAAGATTAGACTAATTTGTAATGTCTTATAAAAGGAGAAGCTGGTCCTTTCCCTGGCTTAATGGGTTCAGGGCTTAAAAAAAAACCCTTTAATATAATAACACACTTATTTTAATATCATCTGGCTTATGGTTTAATAGAAATCATGAGGGCAAGGTCTTGAATGCCTTGGTATCTAATTCAGGGTCAGACACAGCACACATTCAGAGAACAAGTGAATGAGAATCCTGCTGCTGACACAATCCACTTGTATGACTTTAGTCAAGTCATAACTTCCCTGGAACTCGTTTTCTTCATCTATAAAATGAGTTGGTTGGACAAGATGGTCTCTACAGTTCCTCTAACAAATTCTATGACACTGATCCCACAACATAACATCGATGCAGCTGCCAAAGTGATTTTCCTAAAGCACGTATCTGGCTATGTCACTAAACCCCAATGGCTTACTATTGCCTTTAGAATCAAATATGAACTTTTCTGGCATTTGAAGCCCTTTACAACCTGGCTACAGCTTAGCTTTGAAGACTTATCATGTATTACTCCACTGCTTGTATTCTATAGTCTGGCCAAACTGGTCTTATGTACCATGCCGTAACATGACATTCCATCTCTTTTCTCCATGACTTTGCCCCCAGCTGTGCCCCACGTTTGGAACGTGCTCCTTCCTCATCTCTGCTTCTTAGAATCCCTAATATCCTTCAAAGCTCAGCTCAACTACCACCTTCTACATGAGGATTTCCTTATGTGTCAGCTCCAAATTATATTGTGTTAATTTCAAGTTGTCACTTCAACAAGCATTTATTAAGTGCCCACTGTGTACCAGGCACCAAGCTGAATGCTGGGGATGTAAAGAAAGGCAAAAGACAGTCCCTACTCTCAAGAAGCTCATAGTCTAATGAGGGAGACAACATGCAAACAACAGTGTAGAAAAAGAGCTACATACAGACTAAATAGGATTAGAATTAAGGGGGGGTTGGGAAAGGCTTCTTGAAGATGAGATTTCAGCTGAGACTCAAAGAAAGTCAGGAAAGTCAGAAGTGAAAGATGAGGGGGCAGGGAATGCCAGGTATGCAGGACAGCTAGGGAAGACACACAGAGTCAGGAGATGGAGTGTCCTCTGGGAAGAACAACAAGGAAGCCAATGGCACTGGATAGAAAAGTACAGTGCCTGGCAGGGGGTAATGCAGGAGAGTGAAAAGGCAGGAAGGGCTTGAAAAACGAAAGAGAGGGTTTTCTATTTCATTCTGGAGGTCGTAGGGAGCCACTGAGATTTATTCAATAGGGGTGTGACAGAATCAATTTTATAGCTAAGTGGAGGATGAACTGGAAGGGGGAAAGATTTGAGGCAGGAAGACCAGCCAGAAGCCTATTGCAACAGTTCAGGTATGAGGTGACGGAGTAGCAGGGTCAGAAGAGAGAAGGGGGCATCCAGGGAAGCTATTGCAAAAGGACAATTAACAGGACTTTGCAGCTGATTAGATACGGGGTAAGAGGGGATGAAGAATCAAAGAGGAATTCAGTGGTGAGTCTGGGTAGCTGAGAGGATGGTGGTGGCCTCAACAGTAACAGGGTAGTTTAGAAGAGGGGTGGGTTTGGGGGGAAGTTGATGAGTTCAGCTGTAGATGTGTTGAGTTAAAAGATTTATGAGACATCCAGTTCCAGATGTCTAACAGGCAGTTGGAGATGTGACACATGAAGTCAATACATATTCTACACCCACTTTTATTTATGTATCCTCAGCACTTAGCACAGTTCCTTGCACATAGTAGGTACTTAATAAATATTTGTTGGTTCATTTTTTGTTTGACTTGATTGGTTGAAATATAAGAAATAGAGGGTAGTTCACATAGCTAGAAGCAAATCAATAGCATTCTTTTGGCTCTTGGAAAGATATTCCATTTGGACTGAATGAAAAAAAAAAAGCTTGGTGTATGGACTGCTTTCCTTCCTCAGGTGTTTCAAATTTACATTTTGCCATTCTCTTGGGTTTGTATTTTCTAGAGGGTTCTACTTTCTTATGTTTTTAGATTAGGTTAAATGAGATTGTGCTGACACATCTCGATGTAGTTGGAGGAACAAATGTAGCATTTCTTTGGTATTTCTGAAAGGCGATTGACAGTAAGGATTGTGGGGAAATGAGCAATGGGTGAAGAGGACTCAGGTTGGCTGCAAATCCCCATTTTTTCCAGAATTTTTTCTTTCTCTACGTGATGCTCTTTATTGTGGGAAGTCAGAACAACGGGTTAAACTCTTACCTCCTCAACAACTATATTTTGCATCCATTCACCTTTTTCCACGCCTTGCTTTAGTTGTCTTTGTTGGTCAGTTGGGTTCAACTGTATGTGACTCCATGGACTTTTGCCCATGGGCTTTTCTTGGCAAAGATCCTGGAGTGGTTTGCCATTTCCTTCTCCAGTGTGTTTCCATGTTGTAGGACCTGAGGCAATTAGGGGTTCAGTGCCCAGGATCACACAGTTAGTAAGTGCCTGAGGCCAGATTTGAACTTGGATATTCTTAGCTCCAAGCCCAGTGCTCTATGCACTGCACCACTTACCTGCCCACGTTGTTTCAGAGACCTTGTTAAATGAAACAGCTTGTTTGGATATTGGCCTTTTCCTGAAACCCTTTTCTCTTAACATCGGGTGCTCCGTTCCCACCTGAGAACTTATGCCTGTGGGCAGTGCCCCTTTCTCAGTCTTTCTCGCCATCTTCCACCATGCTGTTCGGAGAAGTAGGGATGTGACTGAGAGTGGTGCCAGAAGTGAGGGGAAATATACTCTGTTAAATAGATGCTTTGCTCAAAGTCATGGTCAGAAAAGGATAATGGTCCCCATAACAGTTAACTTCTCCTTGCTAGGGTGGGCTGCTAAGTTCACTCACCTTCCTCCATGGTGACGAGGTCAGAGGTCCTTTCAAGTGACAAGATATCTGGGAGACAGAATAAGGCCATCCGAGAAGTGATTCCGTCTTATAATTTTATCTGGATCCTGAGTCCATCCTGTTGATTACAAATCAATATAATAATTATATATTAATAAGTGCATATTGATTCATTGATTCATATACATACTGGTCCTCCTTAAAATGTGAGCTGAGATCAAGGTACCTGCTCCAAGGAGATGAAGCTGGAGAAATTAACCAACTCAAACTATACATTTCTTAGAATTTCTGGGTTACAAGCAGCTTCTGAACCATCTGGGAAATTCCAGGGGCTAGCAGAGCAAGAGACATGCAGTCTCTTGGGAGCTGTTTGTCATGCATTTTTATCTTGTTATTATGTACTGTTTATCCACTTATCAATTCTCTGCCAAGAGTAGCTATATGCAATATTCAAGCAGGGTTGTCATGATTCCTCTCCAGACTCCACTGCTGACTCATCTCCAAAGGACTTTCTCCACCATGCTATAGAAATATCTTCCCCAAGGAAGCCCACCCCATCTCTGGCCTACTTCTTACATTGGAAGTGTCCTCTACACCTGAAACCTCTCCTTCTGATAGGCTGGTTCCTCCCAAACCTCTAATTTAAAGAGGAGGCCCAGGCCAAAGACATTTTCATTCCTCTCCAGATTTCACTCCTGACTCATCTTCAGAAAACTTTCTCTACCATACACCTTTCTCTCCCATACCTTCTGAAGTTCTACCTTCCCCTCACTCCTCCATCCCTGCTTTTATGTTTTGTCTTCCTTCATTAGAATGTAAGCTTCTTGAGGACAGATATTGTCCTTCTTTCTGCTTTTTTTTTTTTGTATTACCAAAGCTTAGCATAGTGCCTGGCTGCTTAATAAATGATTAATGACTGACTGATCAACTGACTTTCAGGTGGAGAGCCAACTACATATGCTGAGATCTTATAACTAGTGGTTATTGAAACAGTACAAGTTAAAGGGTGTAGAGTTTGGTGGGGACTCAGAGTTCAGTTCTAATTGGAGAAATCCATTCAACAACTATTAAAGAATTTGCGCAGCCCTAGATAGAAGTACAGACCTGAAGGATAGAAAGTCATTGACCCTGTGAGAACCATAGTGAACAAGGCAGTTAATTATTCAGACTTCTGCTCAATTTGTATGGGCACAAACTGCTATAGTGAGCATTGGACCTGCCACGTTCCTGGATCCTTTTTGGCTGTCAATGCCACCTACTGGCTAAACAGTCCACAGAGCTTTGGGGAGACAGTTTAGGGCAATGGAAAAAGCTTCAGGCTCAGGTTGGTAATGTCTGGGTTTGATTCTGGCTTGAATCAGTTTAGTAAATGTTTATTAAATACCAGCTATATGGTTTTGTTGTAAGTAAACACAACTCTTCTGTACCTTAGTTTCTTCATCTGTAAAATGAAGTTATTAATATTTGTACTAGACAGCATATAGGAACAAATCTGTCACATAACATAGTATATGCCCATGTACACACATATATGTATATGCCACAATACATCTATATATACATACATAATATGTACAAACCCACACACCCAGATGTGTGTGGAAATAGGAATGCATAGGACTGGACACCTGATTTCATTAGTTTGGGGATCTCTGGTGAGAAAACTGTCCTTAACCATGCAAGATGGCAACTTTACAGCAATTTAAGGCCTTAGAGAGCTGCTTGAGGCACTGAGAGGTTAAGTGACAGATCGGGTCACACAGCTTGTTGTACCAGTAGTAGTATTAGAACACAAGTCATCCTGACCCTGAGGCCAGCTCACTTGGCACTAGGTCAATGCTGATCATAGGCATGCACAGAACATGTGGTAGCATACCCTGAGGGTACATGCCCATGGCTCAAGGTATGCATAGGAATAGGTATGATTTGAGATCCATGACATGACACAACATGACATAACACGATATGATACATGGATGTCAATTGTTAGGATTGTACCTCCAACTTCATAGGATTGATGAAACATCAAATCCTCTTTTTGGGAGTTCAAAGTCCTTTATGGACCCCACCTAACATTCTAGTCTAGTATCTATCACATGTTACAGAAACACTGGTTCCCTTCCTGTTCCTAAAACAAGGCATTCTGCCTCCTGACTTCGAGTCATTTTCACCAGCTGTCCACATGCCTGGAATGCTTTTCCTCCTCATCCCTGGCTCCTGCTTCCTTCAAGTCCCAGGTAGAATCATACCTTCTATGTCTATGAGAAGCCTTTCCAGATCACTCTTTTAATGCTAATCCCTTCCCTTGGAAGATTAACTCCAATTTATCCTGTCTCTATCTTTTTTGTACACAGTTTTTTGCATGTTGTCTCTCCCATTAGACTATGAACTCCTTAAGAGGAGGGACTGTCTTTTGCCTTTTTTTGTATCCTTCGAGCTTAGCACAGCATTCTGGCATATAATAGGTGATTAATAAATGGATGAAATAAATAGGATCAAATGATCATATGATCATAAATTTAGAGCTGAAAGGGACCTTAGAGGTCATCTACTCCAACCCCTTCATTTTAACTTTTCTGTAACTAACTTTATCTGACTCCAAATCCAGCATTCTTTCCAGTGGATGAGATTATACACACACACACACACACACACACACACACACACACACACATTCATATACATATACATACATATATATGTATATATTTATATTCATATGTAGCTCTCATTTTGTAAACAATAAGGTACTATAGAAATACTAGCTTTTGTTTTTATGAAAAACAACAGCAATCCAAAAACATGCTTCAGCTCTCACGGTCATTTCTAACCCATGGTCCTAAGGTCAGCAGGAAAGGAGCAAAGTAGAGATAGTTCATTCATTTCCTTATTCAATCTCTTCACAGTTTTACATATTTTATATATATATATATATATATATATATATATATATATATATATATATATATACACACACACACACACACAACACATACATACACATATACAGAGAGAGAGAGAGAGAGAGAGAGAGAGAGAGTGCTTAGTTTCTATTTGTGTTGTGTGTGCATGTATATAACCTCATCCATTGGAAAAAATGCTAGATTTGGAGTCAGATAAGTTAGCTACAGAAAAGTTAAAATGTTTATGTATGTATACACACACACACACACACATACATACACACACACACACACACACACATATATATATATATACACATATACATATATATGCATACACACACACACACACCAGAAATAGAAACTAAACTCAAACAAATAGAAACTCAAACAAATGCTGGGCTTTAGGAGTGTCTGTCTCTCTATTTGAATTGGCCTGGCCTGGCCTCTAGCCAAGGAAATCTCATTCTTTCAGTAGGTTGGTATAAAGTAGAAAAGATTATTTTCTATTCTATTTTTAGTGTTCCTGGATCCCTGCAGTCAAGCTGTAAAAACACCAGTGCAGAGCCAGGAACGCTTAGAAATATATTCCCAAGACTGCTTGTGAGGGGCAGGAAAGAACAAGTTGACTTGGGAAGGAGAAACCAGAGCCAGCACAGGGTGGAGAAATGAAATCTTTCTTTAAAGCAGCCGCGACTTCGGGCAAGGGTTACCTGCTTCCCCCTTGGTATTTGGGCAGTAAAAGCCCTAGTTTGCAGTTCTAAGTGCCAGAACTGGTCCAGTGGGCTGGCAGAATTGAAGCGTCCCTGGAAGGGCCCCTTGAATGCTGCTCCAACATATATTCCCATCAGTCTGCTACGGTGCCTGAAATTTTCAAATACTAATAATCCCCTTTCGATTAAGACATAGAAACTCAAGATCAGGGTGCAAGGGAGGGCAAGCATTACCTGGAGCTAAGCCATTATCAGCCTAATTTGCTCTTCAGCTCAAACTTGAGTCACTTTAGTCACCTGACAGAGCCTTGGGGAAATGGGTCACAGGACATCAGAAGACATCAGAAGAAGGAATCAGAAGGCGTTAATGCATACGGCAGCTCTATTGGGGTGCAGGCCTGGTTGTGATCCTATAGCAGGGGTCTAAGCCAGAAAGCAGCAAGGCACTGGTCTGTCTAGGGATATGGGAGAGGATGGGGGAAAGGCTCCAAAAGTGAGGAGAAAGGACACAAAAGGAAGGGGAGGAGCACTGGGGAAACTAAGCCCACTTTGCTATTTTGCCTATAGAGGGCGCTCCTCAGCTCTTTCCCAAGAAGTGAAGCTACACCCATCCAAATCCCATTTCCTAGTCTACCTCCATGCACCACACAGGTTCGGTATTAAGTAGATATGGCAACCTCAGCATCAAACACTGCAGTTGCACCAGACATAGACCTACCGGCCACTCTCTCGGCTGCCAACTCCCTTTGCTCCTATTGCTAAGAGATATCTAAAAAGCCTTGGCTTGGCAGGGAATGAGGTCGTTTTGGAGCAAGCTTTGGCTTTGGAGTCTGAGCTTTGTTAGAACCTGGGCTCTGTTGTTTATTACCTGTGGGATCTTTAGCATGTCATTTCACTTCTTATGCCCCCAGTTTCTTCATCTGTGAAATGGGGAGGTTAGACTAGATGATCTCTGAGGTCTTTTCTGGCTTGAAAGTCCATGCTCCTGAAATACTAGCCTTCTTCCCTGCTGGCCCAGAGCCATATTATGGGGTATATTTATCTGACACACATTAATTAGGTGCCTAGTGTGTGCAAAAGGCCCTTAGACACTGGGAAGGGTTAAAAAAATAGATTAAGGATTATCCATGTTTTCAGGGAGCTTATAAATTTAAGGGGAAGGAGGCTGAATTCTGTCTTCAGAGTGTCCCTTCCATTATCCTATCCAAATGTTTCCTTCTCATCTCATCTCATATCTCCCTCTCCTAAAAGGTCAGTAACGAGTGAATCAAGCTAGCTGACTGCTTCTAATATTACATGCATCTTTAGAAGTAACTATGTGGCACAAGTCGATAAATCCCTAGACCTCGAATCAGGAAGAACTTAGTTCAATTTCTGCCTCAAATACTTACTAACTGTGTGATCTCTAGGAAGTCAATCAGTCACTTAAACTCAGTTTCTTCATCTGCAAAATGGGGATAATAACAGTAACTACCTTCATGATTACTGTGAGGATAAAAACT